GGTATTTGAACGGAATCGACCTAACATTCTAGGAATACCTTCCATTTCCATTCTTTTCAGGGATCCGTCTTTTTCTTGCAAACCTTACTCTACGCGGGGAAACCTTGAGAAAAATGGGGAATTCACCATTTGTTGGGGTCTAACCCAAAAGAAAACACCCATGCGTCAACAAAAGCACACACAACATGTCATGTTTTTACACGTTTTTCCCTGTTGGTTTCTGAAGGGATTTGAACTAACATCATATCTTTCCTTGGCATCCGCATTCGCGTTCTTTCGAGGTCGCCTTGGGTCTCGGCCTGGGCTTCGCGCTCATGGCCGGAGCCGGGAAGGAGCGGGATGGATTGGGCACGTAGTGTTGACCCCATATTTCAGGCTGGGGAAAAGAGGATAATTCACCCAGATACATGCCATAACTGGGCCATACTTGAAGGGGCAGCGCACTTACTAAGTGGTTAGTAAGCCTGGTTGTAACCCACTTAGGAGACTTGTATCCATGGTAAGTGGGTTATCACCAGTCTTACTAACCACTTGGTAAGTGCCCTGCCCCTTCAAGTAACCAACCGTTACTTGACAACAAGGGGTTCATACCAGGGGCTCATATACTAGGTCCCCCAGCAGAAGGGTGCCCTTTCTCACCCCCTTTTTTGGTTGAGAGGGTTCCCCCGCTAAAATAGACAGAACAAAAGGGTACCAACTTATTTTAACCTCTCTGCTGGAGGACCTAGTACTAGTGTTGACCCCATCATGAATTGGATGGACGAAATCCTACTGAAACCACGGGAAATTATTGTTGGTTGGTTTTTGGAGGGGAACCATCCTTAAAGGTGCAGGATTTCGTCAATCCACAGTATTAATCAATCCCAATTTAATGGGGGGCGTTTTTTGGGTGAAATGTGGCTCCCTATTTCATAAACTGGGGTTGATAAACATGGGGTCAACATGAAGTGGCTAGTAAGCCTGAAAGCCATGGTTGCAAGTCTCGGTTCAGTGCGTTGTAAGTCTAGGCATACTACGTCCCCTGCACTTTTCAGTAGCCTTGTTATAGCCAACTTTGTAGACTTATCACCATGCATGGCTTTTGTGAGTTATAGCCAGGCTTATCAGCCACTTGCTAAGTACAATGCCCTGTAAGTATTGAAGCCCAGAACAATAAACGGTTTAGGGTCTTTTGCCCCCGATTTTGTGGATCCACCTTCCTGGTGTGTTGGTCCCTTTGTCAGAAGGTCCACAAATTGATTTGGGCTTGTGAGTTAATGCAAACTTGTGAGTTAATGCGAACCTAAGGATTAAGCAGAAGCCCTGGTTTACTAATAGGAGGGTGTCCCCTTCTAGTGGGAGTTCATTATGTTTGGGGGACACACGCCCCTAATGATAGGACGGGTTTAACACTACTGGGTCTGTTTTTTGGGGGGGACGCCACCAGGTGCCGCTTCCTATTAGACACTTAGAAGATAAGACACCGGGTCACAACCATTCAAAACACCCATCCTGGGCTTCAGTCACAACCATTCAGAACACCCTGGTTAGCTTCATACTGTGGAGGGACGAAATCCTGCACCACCTGCGAAACCCTGAAATGACAATTCGGCTGCCAACCAGGATTGGTGTCTTATGATTTCAAAGCGGTGCGAATTGGATTGCGCAACCATCCACAGTATGAAGCTAGCCACAGTTTTAATGGTTGTGACTGAAGCCCAGGCTGGGCGTTTTGAATGCTTGTGACCGGGTGTCTTATCTGTTAAGCGTCTTATCGAAACCGGCACTTCCATTTGCTTAAGTTGTTTTTTTACCCTGGAATGTATTACTACTGGACATATCATTCTTATTTTTCAGGGGTCTTGACCAACTGGAAGTAGTACCCCTAGTTTTCCTTGTTTTGTTTCCGGAAAAAGATTCCCTAGTTCAACCAAACACGGGAAGCAGTTCCGCTGCAGGCTTCCCAGGTGAATTTCAGCCCCATGGACGAGTCGAACTTGTATTTGTTTTAAATGAAATGTTCAATAAATATGAGATCAAATGTAAATATGAAATCAATAACTTAATTAGTATTTCATCAAACTTAAAAGTATGATTAAATCTTTCAACATTATTATTAATCTGTTTTTAATGACATCTTAATTTAGTATCGAAGGGCGGTTGAACCCTTCAGCCCCATGGAGTCGGAAGTCGGCAGGAGCCAGCCCCGATCGAGGCGGGGGCCATAGGATCGATAGGGTGGAGCAACCCCGCAAAAACCGGCGGCGGGTTCTTATATATATATATATGCATAGATTTGTTTTGTATATATATATATATATTTACATGTATGTATGTGTATGTAAATATATATATATATAATAATATGTATACATGATTGTTTGAGTCGGCACCCCTCTTGCTGTGTGGTTTTCAAAGGGAAAACAATCCTTTTCAAGTGTTCCATGTTCGTTTGAAGGAGCTCCACCCAACTCTTTCTCATTGCCGGCGAAGTGCATAATTTGAGTTGTTTTCTCCCCTGTTTGCTGTTCGAAGGGGGCTGCAAAAAAACAGCCCGTTCTTTCCGGGAAAAAACAACAACAAAACTGCCATTTCCCGAGGGTTTTTTGTGGTTTTCTAGAAAGAAGGATCCCTGGAAAGAATGGAAATGGAAGTCACCCCTAGATCTTTGTCCTTTTCCACTTGCGCTTCCCAGGCGTCCGGCGCCTTAGGCTTGCTGGCAGTTTGTGGATGTAACCCGCAAGTGTTTTTTCTGCTTCGCAGAAAATCGGACAACGGACAGCCCAGGTCAAGGCCTTGGTACCTCAGGGCGGGCTTTGGGGGTTTTCAATGGGCCGGGTATGTGACATAGAGGGCGCGCATGTCATTGGTATCTGTTTGGCTTCCCTTAAGCCAACCCCAAAAGGGTCCTGAAGGGGCTAGGGGTACTTCTCACTTCCTGAGTTCATGAACTTTAAACTTTTTGGGAAGACCATTTTAGTGGTAAATATAAAGTTTAGACTTTTTTGGGGCCATCCACTCAGCCAGCGAGTCTTAGTGAGTGGTGAGTAAGCCTGGATGTATCCGACTTAGGACACTTATAAGCATGGCTTTTGTGTGTGTGTGTGTTGTACCCATGGTTACCACCAGCTGCCCCTTTGCACACCCTGTGAATGGCACAAACCACCTATCCACTGGCTCAGGACTTTGTCCATCCGCTTTGCCAGAACTGGCTTTCGATGGATGCCATGTGGGTCCAGATGTCCATAGTCTTTGAGTCCTCTCTTCCGACCTGCGCTCAAGAAACTCCCGAACCAAAACCCGAAAGGCGCCGTCAACTACCCACTTTGCTTGTATCTTGGGGAGTCCACAATTCCAGGGTGGACGAGATTGTGTTTTCAACCAACTCAGGCCTCCAAAAATTGCCCTTGACCGAAAAGCGGCGGGGTGCCGAGTGCCTTCGCTTTGGAAACAAAGGCTACAGAGGCGTCAGCTGCTCAGGAGCGGGCGACGGGAAGGAATCGGAATTGAATTTGTGGAGCAGGGGTCGGTGTATGAGCAACGGTCCATGTGGGTGTTTTTTTTTGGAGGGACCCCCCCAAAAAAAAAATGGTTTTCCTAACCCCCCCAAAAAAAGAAGAACAACACACGGGGTGGATTTCCTAACACGGTTCAGTTAGAAAAAGATGAATTGATTGTGTGGGCGGTCATATTGCGTACCCTCTTGCTGAAGACATAGCCAATGTTTAATAACTGCAACGTGATCAGATGAGTCCTGGATGCTGGACGTTGGAGCATTGGAATGTGCAGAGCATCCCTCGCAGTTTATTCAGTTGCTTGAAGTGAAGCAACCAATTGAATATATGGATGTGCACAATGAATCGAACTCGGCCTTTCTTGACTCATGACTAGGTCCCCCAGTAGTGCCCTTTACCCTTTTTTTGGTGGGAGGGTTCCTCTACAAAAAACAGGGTACCCTTATTCTAACCTCTCTACAGGAGGACCTAGATGAAGCAAGATCCCTTGGTGGAAGCGACATTGAATCGAAGACTTCTTCCTGGCATGTGACCAACTCTGTGCCGCGCCTTCGACTCGAAACATGTTGGCTCGAGCATGTATTCAGTAGATCCCACCAATTCTGCGCGGCGAAGTTTCTTGGGACAATCGATTCCCGTGCAACTGATGTTGACCAAGACATTCCCCAATTCAAGCAACCCAACATCCACCAAGAAAGGGCCTGTTTCCGAGCTCATTGCCAGCTGGCGATTCACAGGCTCCGGCAGAATGAAAGAAAGGTCTACTTCCATTTGCTGAAGAATATGTTTTATTTTTCCTTGTTGGTTTTAAAAGGAATTTATCACTATAAACCTTAAACCCTTAACCCTTAAGTCTACCGCAACTCCTCCCTGCGTCAACAACTGCCACCAGGTCTGTCCTTTCCGGCTGTATTGTTTGAAGTTGTCTTCCAAAATGGAGCGGGTGTCGCCCAACTAGTTAAAGCGCACCAAAGTTGTTCTTCTCCTTTTGAAGGGATTCCCCGTTCGTTGGAAGGGCCCCCCACCAAGAGGAAGCTCATCTCAAAGTGGCTAAGGCTCTTGTGAAATATTGGGACCACAAGTGGCACGTCTCTACATTTCCGCTTTAAAACCCAAACAGAGCCCGCGAGTTTCAGACATCCACTTTTAGACACCCCATTAAAAGAATTTGTGACTTTTTTAGGGGACCCCACCCCAGAAGAAGAAAACACACAAGCATTGTGATTTCCTAAAACAGCCATAAAAAGGACGCCAACTCCCAAAAAGAGGTTGCCATCCAAAAAGGAAAGCGCCCCCAAATTTGGAGACAACAGACAGATACAAACGGTGGTGAACTACGAACCCCACCCTTGAACTTCAACGCTTTCCTGCCTGAATTCCCCACGGAGCTTTCTTTGTACACTACTGCTCAGGAACTTTCAGAGATTCCCTTCTAAAGGAACCCAGTGGGATGGTTTCGGCTCCTCCAATTCTCTCCTTCCCAGACGCATCTCTCTTCCCCCCTCGCCACACCCCGCACCCCACTCTGCGGGCTTCAACCCCCCCCGACGCGCAAAGCGATGGAGCCGGGGGCGCCGAAGTGCTGGGCCCTCTGCCGGCTGCGCGGGCTGCAGCAGCAGCGGCACCTCAACGGCGCCCGCGGGCAGCTGCTGCGCCCCACCGAGGCGAGGCGCTTCGGAGTCGGAGTCGGGGCGGCGAGGAGGCGAGGCGAGGTGTGGGCGGCGCCGGGTGTTTATGTGGGGGATCCCCAAAGCTTTGTTTTTTAAAGGAATATATTCTTATCATTTTTTAGAAGTGGAAGCCCTTTTGAGGTCTCCCTACTAAAAGAAGGGTGGGGATCCCCAAAGAATGGCAAGGGTTTCCTTTTGGTCGGCATCGATTCGGTCGCCGAAGGAATCGAAGGAGCTTCGGCGAGTTGGGCGATTTGGATCCCCAAGAACTTGGTGCCCAGCCGTCAAGTGTTTAAAGTGTTCCTGGAGTCTCCATGACCCTTCAAAAATAGGTCCATGACCCAATTATCTTCAAAAATAGGTCCATGACCCAATTATTTTAGGTAATGACCCAGGTTTTAAGGATTTTTTATCCTATATGCAAGCTTTGCGCAGGGCATCTGAGGACAGCCCCAAAAATGGTAATGGCTTCCGGCCTCCCTTTCAAAGCACAAAAAAGGGTGTTGGATCCCCTGTCAAATCACACAAAAAGGGTCGGGCCGTGCCCCGCCTCCCCCCCCCCCCCCCGAAAAATGCAAAGGGTTCCTTTTGAGTTCCCTGAAAAAGGGTGGGGCCCCCAAAAGAATGGGGGGCAACGGGTCCTTCTTGGCTTTCCGTTAAAGCCGCAAGAAAGGGTGGGGACCCCCAAAAATTGGCAACTGTTTCCTTTTGGTTGCCCTTTTAAAACCAACCAAAAGGGGGTACCCTTCAGAAAAGCAAACACACACACAAACACACAAACAAACACAAACACACAAGCACAAGCACACACAAACACACAAACACACACATACATCTACCCACCCACCGACCCACCCACCCACACCCACCCACACCCACCCACCCACACCCACCCACCCACCCCACCCACCCACCCACCCACCCACCCACACCCACCCAACCACCCACACCCACCCACCCACTTACACCCACCCACACCCACCCACACACACACACACCCACCCAACCCACCCACCCACCCAACCACCCACCCACCCACGCACGCACGCACCCACGCACCCACGCACGCACGCACGCACGCACGCACACACACACGCGCGGGAACGCACCCATATGGGGAAACCAGCGGGGCTAAAGCCAGTGGGGGCGAACACGGTATATTTTTCCCATGAGGTCATGCGCACCCCGTATGCCCCTTCGCTTTTTTGGTTTTGGTGGAGATTCATCACTTAATTAGAGTGGAACCCTTAGAAAAAGGATGGGTTCATGTATCCGGGGTCTGTAACGGGTTGTAGTGAATGGGTTCGGCTCGCATGCATGCACTACAAAAAGGTACCGTTTTTGTTGGGACCCCGAAATGAGTGGTGTTTATTTTTTGGTGTCGTTTTGAATTCGTCCCAGGGTAAAACTAACAAGGGTAAACCCAGACCCACATAAACACAACGATCTGGGGCATAGGGGTGGTGGGGGAGCATGGCATGTCACTGAGAGCCTTCGTTGCAGGTCATGGCATGCGATAGCAAAGGGGGACTTCTTGCCGCCTTCAAGGCCCCCTCGTAGTGAAGGATTCCTTTTGGAGGGGGTCGATCAATTTTCCCACCAAAGGTGGCAAAGAGACACCCCTGTGCGACAGTAGAAGACTTTGAAGAAGTCGTGGGACGCCCACCTCCCACGCATGGAACCTGCCGGAAGGCACCTGGAAGATCATCGAAGACATGATCCCAGTGGCAAAATGAGGTCCACTTTGGACCGAGTTTTTTATTTCCCCCAACAGCTGGAAGCTTTCGGGTCTCAGCCCAGATGGGCTCTGGGGTGGTCCGGGGCGGCCCTGAGGTAAGGTTCCACCAGGGTTCCACCAGGGTTCCACGAGGGTTCCACCAGGGTTCCACGAGGGTTCCGAGAGCTGCGGGGTGGTGCGAGCACTAAAAAGAACGCCGCATGCTGTTGGGGATATCACCTGAGCTTGTTTTTTTAACCTATTTGGACATGCCACAATCCCGCAAGCCCCAAAGGCTCCAATATTTTTTTGGCCCTCCACATCTAGGAAGGCAGCAAGGGACTCTTGAGGAAGTAGAAATGGTATGCATCCCATGTATAACCAAGTATTCGTAGTTTTTCTGGGTAGGTGGGACTCAAAACATGTCTTCGGCATCCTTTGAAAGCAAAGAAGGGGCACCCTCCGAAAAAAGACACTCGTATTCGAACAATTTGAAGCAACACCTTTCAGTTGCTGAATCCCTAAGGGGGCTCGGCACAAGGGCGGTGGGTTGAGAGGCCTAGGGTTTCTTAGGGTCCCCCCCCCGCCTGGCCTCAAGTCCGTGAGGGCGGCCGTTGGCTGGTTCGCACTGGTGCTGACGTCCACGCAACTCAGACCAAGTGCCGTTTGCCTTTTTTTTGTTACCTCTTCTGCGGTGCGAAATGGGGCAATGACTCACTTCCTGAGTTCAAGTGACTTTGTCACTTGAGTTTCACCGGTTCAGTGGTAAAGAAAAAGGTTGGTTTTTTTGGCCAGCCTACTCAGCTAGGTCCCCCAGTAGTGCCCTTTTACCCTTTTTCTTGGGGAGGGTTCCCCTACTAAATTAGACTACAGAAAAAAGGTACGCTTATTCTATCCTCTCTACTGTAGGACCTACTTAGGAAGTGAGATGATATTGAACTTCTTCAAATCCAAACGGTCGCGTGGCACCTCGTAGTTGCGGATTTGAGGAAGCACTCTTTGACGAAACTCCCGACAATCCAAAACCCAAATCCGTAACTTTATGAGGTACCCAAAGACCCTGAAGAGAAAAGGAAACCAAAGAAGGAGATTTGTCCATTTCCAGACTGAGAGACCCTTTATCTTGGCGATTCCAGCCGTCCCCCGTAGGTTTCTAGGCTTTTAGGGCTTCCATTTAACTCACTAAAAGTTACAAACTTTTGGCAGATCAGACAACAAACAGCTCAGTACATACTTGTTTGTCAAGCGAAAGTCTCGACTGGTTGCAATCGAAGCTGCATGTGACTGGGAAGCAACTGGACCAAAAGTCTGAACATGGAAAGCTTACTAGATTATTTTCCTCTTGGCTGATTTGGCCTCCCTTTTGGTTCCCCTCGTTCGGACTCGCAAAACGAGTTGCTTATAGTTGTCCTTGAACAACCAAAGGGGGTTTGCCCCAAGAACTGTGGGGGTGTTCTTGGTTGTCCTTTGTATACCTTTTGGTTCCCCGAACAAATACTCAAACATGGTTTCCTGTTAATTTCGTGCTGTTTTTGGGGGGTTTCCCTTTGTTTTTCCTTTTTGTCCCCCCCCCCAACAAAACACATTCGCCATTTCAATAGGTGGTTCTACCGCCCAGCTGTATGATTGTATTAGGGCCTGTACTGTGGATGGACGAAATCCTGCACCCTGAAATGTTGATTCCCCTGCAAATACCAACAAACAATGGTTTCAACCGTGGCTTCAAAGTGGTGCGAATTGGATTGCGCAACCATCCACAGTATGGCCCATATAAACCGTTTAAAATGATATTGGTGGAGCCAAAGTCAGCTCGGACTAAGACGCTGCATGTTTATGTGTTGGTCGATGTTCGGTCATGGTTCCTAAAAGCCACCCGTACCCTCAAACTGCGCTTTTAAAAGGGAGATCACAGTAGCCCTTTCTAAAATTCAATTTGCGTCAATCTCCACTGTTTAAGGGTACTGTAGTTGACTTGGTGGCTCCCAGCCATCCGGTTCGTTATAGATATTTTTCGTGTTCAGTGCTAGTTTCGATTTACCCCGCTCAAGTGAGTCACTTTTAGCGGGGGATCAGACATCGGGCAGCCCAGTTGAGGGTCCAGGTACACCGGCGCTATCCCATGTTTAAGGCTATTTGAGGGCTTCAAGCCCCTAGAATAAAACTCACGACTCGGAGGGTTTTGTGTTTATTACGATCCTCCAGTACTGCCCGGTGACCCTTTTTTGTGGGAAGGAAGGGTTCCCCTACTGAAACAGACTATACAGAAAAAAGGGTACGCTTATTTGAACCTGTCTACTGGAGGACCTAGATTCAGCCTAGATTATTAGGGTCACCCTTTTTCTGGCCAGAGCTGTTGCAGACTGCGCTTGAAAACGCAGAGACGCAGGCCACAGCACAAAACAAGGGCTGCAGAGTCGGGCTTTGCTGTTTGCCATTAAACCAATGGTTGGGTTCATATAGCCACCATGGTTGACCGTTCGGGATTGTCAACATCTAATTTGGGTCCCAAGGCCATTCTCGTTTGATGGGAATCGGTTGAAAGCTAGGGAACATGGTCATAAAGGTTTAGGGATTACATGTTACATAATCCCTATACCTGGTTTTCCCAACAATGACAACACCAAGTCGACACCAACATCAGTTCGTTAGGCTTTAGGCTTTTGGGTTTTGTGTGTGGGTTTCCAAATTGAACCCACAAATGGTTCACTCTTAGCAGGGATCAGAAAATGGATAGCCCAGAATGGGTCAAACAAGGTTCGAGCTTGCGCCAAAGGACACTGTGTTTGACAAGGTTTAGGTTATTTATCAAAACGGGTTGTTACTGCAAGTGACCTTTTGGGGCTAAAATTGTCATACGGTTTTCTGTAAATCTTGGGAAACCGAAGGCATGTTATGAAAAAATGTTGGGTTCCCCGATGTAAAGACATCTTTGAAGGTACCCCAAAAATGCCTTTTGGATGTTCCTTTTGGCAAAACCCCTTTTGCTAAGCGCCCATACTCGGTAATTTGTTAGTAAGCCTGGTGATCTAATCCACTGAACGCAGACAAACATAGCAAAACAAATTGGAGGTTATGTCACCATGGAGTTATTACCCACTCACCCGACGCACTGTCTGCCCTTGAAGCGCTGCCCTCCCCCCCCTTCCTTTTTTTTGAGGGAATGAGGGAGGGTTCCCTTGAACAACAACTACCTAACCTCCAGAAATCCAGTGGGTTTCTCTTTTTCAAGGGCTTGGATAAGATTCAGGGATTGTGAGGGGTTCCAACCCACAATCCCCAATCCCCAGAAGCTTTTGTGGCTCATCTCACTATGGAGTTCTTACAACCACTTGCCTCACCTACCCTAGAAAACCCCTTCAAGCAGGATACATCGTTTAATTTTGAGCCCAAAAAACGGATTTGTCTCCTTTTGGATTTGTATCCTTTTGGACGCTCCTTTTTGGCATCTTCCTTTTGCATGCTCCTTGCGCCTTTTTTCCCACGTTTTTTTCCTGGATCTTCCTTTTCGATGCTCCTTTCTTGGCATTTTTCACCCCCCCTTTTGCCATCGCTCAGCGCCTCGCTCAGCGCCCAACAACGGCTCATTCGCTCCACTTCGAGGCCGTGCGGGCGGAGAACTTCTCCGTGGCGGCGGAGGAGGTGCCGGAGCCGCTGCGCCGCGCCTCGGCAAATCCGAGGAAAACCCCCCAGCAATTGGTGCCCTTTGGACCGTTTGACCGTTTCTTTTGTGGGGGGAGGGCTCCCCTCATTACTAAAATAGACTACAGAGAAAAAGGTTGGTACCAACTTATTCCAGCCTCTCTACCGGAGTGTCGTCCCTCGAAATCACAGCGGGGTTGCCATGGGAGAGGAATGGCTTTTGTTTCTTCAGGTTCTTAAGATGGTTTTTGTGTTTTTCCTTTTTTGGGAAGCTTGGCCGATTCCCATGGGAAGATGAGAAATACCCGCTTGGCCAGGGGGCGAGAAAGCAAATGGAAGCTTCTAAAAGATAATACATCGTCCAGGATCCCGAAACGTCGAATGGTTCCATGTTAGAGAGGAGGGTAAGTGGGTAAGTCACTTAAAACCACTTCTAGATCCCCCAGTAGTGCCCTTTTACCCTTTTGCGGGAGGGTTCCCCTGCTAAAATAGACTACGGTTTTTCTAACCCCTCTACTGGAGGATCTAGATTATAGTAAGCGGCCGTCGCCTTGCCTTTGCAGCAAGTTCCCGGTTGCTTCTTGAGATCCCTGACTCACTGAGTTCCTGGACCGAGAGTTTTTAGTGGTAAATGCACAGTTTGGACTTCCTGCTTCATGGCTGTTATTGGGAAGCATTTTACATGTTTGCTTATTGTGGTTTAGTGGTTGAAATCCCCACTGAATTGTTAACATGTAATTGTTTGCTCCCCTTCCAACGTCAACCAAGGCTTGGCCAATCCGCTCAGGAAGTGAGTGCCCGATGAATGGTTTAGACTTTGGCTAATCCATGCAAGGAGTTGTCCATGGGACAAAAGGTTCTACATGAGCAACGGAACATCTTACTAGGGCATCGGTTTTGGGTGGTCCACGCCCCACCACTTTTGCAGATGGGTCTCGGTTTTCGTTAGGCGCACATGAGTTTTTTGGTGGTAATCTTGTCAGACATGTATGGATGTTTCTCCACATTCGGATCCCTAGCGACCCTACAAAACGGTTGGGTTCCTGCATGAATGCTGTCCTTTAGCATCATTCAGCATCCAAAACAGATCCCTGGTCGGAACCTTAGTACTTTTTGGGGGGTGGCCATTTGCCCTTGAGCTTGGGTGATTTCAAAATGTTTCTAGGATATAGCGGCCAAACATATTTGTCATACTGTGGATGGACGAAATCCTGCACCACCTGAGAAACCCAGGAATGCTTCGATTCCCTTGCACATACCAACCAACGTCGTGGTTTCAACCATGGTAAAGTGGTGCGACTTGGATTTCGCCACCATCCACAGGAGCAAACGAGTGCTTTATTTTGGTGTTTATGAAGGTTTTTCCTTTGGTCTTAGGAGTAAACTATAGCAATCAGCTAGGCTCTTGGGAGCGTCCAGGTCTCAATGACCGCATCTTTAGAGGTTTTTTCCTTATGTCTTCGTAGGAGTAGACTAGGAACCCTTCCGCCCTTTTTGAGCGTCGTCTGGTCTTAAACTGTAGCAATCAGCTCAGTACCAAGCGTTCTAACCACGACGAAAAAATGATAACTACGATGAAAAAGAATAACTAAGACAAAAAAACAGATGCACATACACTATAGAAGGAAATAGAAGGCGCTGTAAAAGGAAATAGAAGGCGCTGTACAAGGAAATAGAAGGCACTGTAGAAGGAAATAGAAGGCGCTGTAAAAGGAAATAAAAGGCGCTGTAGAAGGAAATAGAAGGCGCTGTAAAAGGAAATAGAAGGCGCTGTACAAGGAAATAGAAGGCACTGTAGAAGGAAATAGAAGGCGCTGTAAAAGGAAATAAAAGGCGCTGTAGAAGGAAATAGAAGGCGCTGTAAAAGGAAATAGAAGGCGCTGTAGAAGGAAATAGAAGGCGCTGTAGAAGGAAATAGAAGGCGCTGTAAAAGGAAATAGAAGGTGCTGTAGAGAATGTAAAGGGAAATGGAGACCGCTTCTACAGAGCCTTCTATTTCCTTCTACAGAGCCTTCTATTCAGCGCCTTCTATTTCCTTCTACAGAGCTTTCTATTTCCTTATTTAGCGTTCGTGCTAAACATTGTAGTTTTTCGTCGTGGTTCCTTATCAGCTCAGGCCCTTTGCTGGACGCTGAATCCAAATCTGTCCCGATCGAGGCAAGCTCAGCCCCTAGGAGGTCTCAACGACTGCAATCCTTGAGTCCCAATGAGCGTCCAGGTCTGGTCTTGGGAGTAAACTCTAGCACCAGGTCTCAAAGACCCCGAAATCCAAATCTTTCCCGGAAATCGAGGTTTTTGTAGGAGCAATCTAGGAATCCTTCAGCCCCTAGGAGCGTCCAGGTCTCTTTCGGGCCCGCGAGGAGAAAAACAACAACCTCTGAAGAAAAAACCATGTCCCGAGCATCGAGGCATCTGGGCCTCGGCTGTGGCCAGCTGCGGCTTCCTGCTGCTGGAGCTCGCCAGGCGGACTCGCATGGATCGAACTTCCGTTTGAGGTACCAACGTTTCGGTGGTCCTTTTGGGTTTACCCTCCCACCAACTAACATGGAAGTGCAAAAAAGGCCCTCCAAGAGGAAAGTAGTCTTTCTACATCGGTCCTTTTGGACACCCCCTGTTAGTTAAAAAACAGGGGTTGAGTACCCTCCCGCCAACTAGCATGGAACTTTTGGGCTTGCCCTCCCACCAACATGAAAGTGCAAAAAACAACGCCCTTTCCAAGAGGATTTTTTTTTTTCAGGGTCTGTGCACTTCCATGTTAGCTGGTGGGAGGGTAACCAGGTTTCCCTTTAGAACCAACTACCTGGGTTTAAACGGGTCGAACCAGGTTTCCCTTTCAACATGGGTTTCGGTTTTGTCCGTTTGGGTGTAACCAGGTTTCCCTGGTTTCCCATTAGAACCGCGTTTGCCCGCTTAATTCACCAGGGTTGCCTTTAGAACCAACTACCCCCAACATGGATTTCGGGTGTTCCTTTTGGGTTTAACCAAGTTTCCCTTTGGAACCAACTACCTGGGTTGAACCGGTCCCCTTTAACCAGGTGTCCCTTTCAAACTTTCGACATGGATTTCGGGTGTTCCTTTTGGGTTTAACCAGGTTCATTTGAGGGCCAACTGGGAACCTCCTTTGTGGGACTGGCTTTAACGGGAAACGAAAAGGAAAACCAAAATTCTTGTTTGGGGGCCAACTTTAAGTAAAACGAGCCACACATTTACTGAGATGAATATGTTGTTGTTCTCCTGTTGGAATCTATCACTGGACATATTGCATTTTTGTCCAGGAGCTTGGAAGCCACAAATGCCTGGTACAGGAATCGCTTCTTTGGCGGAAGCTTGGAGTCGTCCATTTGCTGAAATGAATAGTTTTCCCTTGTTGGCGTTAAAAGGAATTTAGCACTACTGGACATTTTTAGTTTTGCCAGGGGTCTTAGCCAAATGGAAGGAGTCCATGTTACAGGTATCGACAGAATTCCAACTGGTCTTTGTTTAGTCCTTGCCTTTGCTCACCCCTGGAATTGTTTGCTATTTGCGGTCCTGGTGTCAAGAGAGTACTAGTTTGATATATATATATATATATATGATATATAATGATGATAAACATAAATAATTAATAATAATAAAAATAAATAATAATAATAATAATAATAATAATAATAATAATAATAATAATAATAATAATAATAAGTCACTGACAGAAACCGGGGGTTTTTGCATTTCCCCTTTTCGGGACCTCCAAAAGTGGCGATCGGTTCAACGGAGCCCACTGAAGGGATCGATTTTTTGGTTTCGGGGGAAGCCAGGGAAATTAAGAAAATAAGAAAGGAAAAAGAGAAGAAAGTAACATAATCTGGGATTGATTAGTTGGCAGCAATCATAAAAGCAGTTAATAACCATTCCACATCAAATAATTCTGTTTGGTTGCTTTGTGGATGAGATGAAAGGGTCCTAATGGTAAACGGTCTAGAAGCACTTTTGGATTACAATCAACATTAAAATAATAAAAAAAAGGTAATAAGAAGATAATAAGATAGGAATGACATGGGAAATAGAAAAGAGAAGGAACTGATATTGGATAGCTTTCTTTATTGGCATGTCTTATGTTTATTGGTTTTCTGATGGTCGTTATTTCCAGGAAGTGAGATTATGAAGGTAAAATGTAAAATAATTATGGAAAAGACGACCAAAAGAAAAAGATGTCCTCAGAATTCCTTTATTTGCAGTTAATTGGGTTTTATCATCAACAACATGAAAAAGAAACAGGATAAGGAAAGTGATGTAGAGAGGACTAACTTGTGAACGAAGAATGAAGGTAAACGAAAATAGATAGATAATTAGCGAATACCGTGGTGTCTCGTTTCCAACCAGAAAAGGACAAGAAGTTGACGAGCCCAGCGTACCGACTCAAAGGTCCGACTCAAAGGACCAGAAAAGGACGAGCCCAGTTGATTTGTGGAAGGGACATCTCCCACACATCGCCGTTTTGTTGTTCTTCCTTCGCCGGAATTGTTTTTCTGTGCCGGATTTTTGGATGAATCGTTCAATCGTTCTTTTCTTTTTCTTCCTTCGCCGGAATTGTTTTTTCTGTGCCGGATTTTTGGGGACATCCCACAAATCGCCGGATGTGTTTGTTTCCCCGTTTTTCTTTTTTTCTTATTTTTGCTTTTTGTTCGAGGTTTTTAGGCCCTCTCCCCCCACAAATCACTTCTTTTTGTTCAAGGGAGGCTGTGCGGCTCGCCAGGTCAGGCGGAACTCGCCAACTCACCGCCTGCCTGGTGCCGCTCAACTTGCCGCGGCTCGGCCTGGCAGGTGACGCGAAAATTCCGCAAGGGGCACGGCGGGGCGGGAGTCGTCCTGTTGCACTGGGACTGGTCCTCACCTCTTAAAAACGCAACTTCTCTCACCTTTTTGGGGGTAACATGGGCTATATGTCTGTAAAAGATGAAAACTTCCCCAGGTTGCTTGGAGTTTTTTACGGGGTAAGGGTCGTTTCTTGGGGCCATTTCTGGCCCAAGGGCATTCTGCGAACTTGGGGCCATCGATTCGGTACAGGCAAGTGGGCGGTCGACCATAAAACACTTACCGTGGCTACACGTCTCGGTTCAGTGGGTGAGTCTAGGCGTACTAATCACTCACCTTTCTTGTTTTGTTGGAAACCCAGGGGGAACCGTTGCGCCATGTTCCGGGGGTTCCCTCAAAAACAAGGAGAGCGGCGCCGAAGCCGTTTTTGGTTCTAGCCTCTCCCACATGGCCGTGGCATGAGGGGGCCCCTTACAAGAGGAAATGTTTGATCTTCCAGGTTCCCTCCCACTGCTGTGTTCGTGGGAGGGTAGTGATTTGTTGAGTTGGCGCACTTCAAATTCAGCCTTCATTTGTGCAAAGGGCCAAGAAGTTGTTTCACCTTTTGTGAAAACACCGCCAACATGATCATCAACAAGACACTCTTTGGAGCGGAAGCTGGGAACTTACCCTTACAATCATGGAAGTGGGTTCCGGGGCTTCCTTTAGGGCGAATCATTAGGAGCCCCTACCCACCAGAATGGTTCTTAGAGCCGGTTAAGGAGTCCCTTCCTTTTGTTGGTTCTAAGAATCCTTCTTGGGGTGTGGTGGGGCACCAAGTCTTGCGCCACTTCAGACGATGCTAGTTGTGCCAAGCCCTTTGCGCACCTCCATGGCTCGCGAAGTGTCCGGTTCCTTAGGCCTTGAGTTGTTTTGAGTTGGCTTAGTCGTTGGGTTTCCATCTATCCCACGAAAAGTTAGGACAACTAGCTGGCTCCCAGTCATCTCTTTAGACTTTTAGCTTTTTAGGATTTAACGCCAGTTTTCATTTAACCCAATAAAAGTCAAGCTTTTACCGGGGGATCTGAGGATAGCTCTCTAAATTTGAATTCGCGTGTTGTATGGCGAGCTCGCCGACTGGGGGGGGGGGAGGTAACATGAGCTCTCCCTCTACTTGGCGGTCCAGTTCTTATTTCAGGTTTGGAATGATTGTAGCATCTGCAGTTTAATGGCACGCTGTCAGAGCATTCAATCTTATTAAGGAAATCAATTGAGTGTTGGTCCCTCCCTTGGGCGATATTAAGTCGACTTGGACAGAAAGCCAGCAGAGCTATTGCAGAACAAAAACGAAGGGGTTCAAATTCATTGGGGGACCTTCATCATTGGTCGAATCGCTCATTTTACCGGCCACACACCAATTGAATCAGTTAAATTCGTGCAGACACATGGCATGAACCCTACAGTTTCAATCTGGACATGCTGACGTCCTTTCCTTGGCGTTCCCAGCCATGCGGTTCCTTAGACTTCAGACTTGCGTTTAGAGTCCCACTAAAAGTGATCTTTTGTAGCAAGGGATCAATGAACCACTTTGTGTTGAGTCCGAAATGAGTGTGCCCTTTGCTGAGGGACTCTTCTTTGGGAGCCGGTTTAAATGGACACCGACAGGACACCCCTGGTTCTTTCTGTCTTTCTTTCTTTCTTTCTTTTTTTTTTTTGGGGGGGGGGGGGGTTAACTTGACTGTTGCTTTCGGGGCCCCATTGACTCCAGAAAACTGATTGGGATGTGCTGTTCCTTTGTTCATACTCTTGTAGTGCTCTTTTGCTATCCTGCAGGGCTAGATCCACAAAAACCGCATCCAAACCGTGGATTGACAATGGCTTCAAACGAGGTTCCAGCATCCTCCACCCGTTTGGGCTAATTGTCAAAGCGGTTTGCGACTGCAAGTGCTGCCATTTGGCTGTGGTTCCTTGCTTTGAGGGAACCCTTTCAACGGGTTGCCTTTCTTGGGCATCCGAAGGCATCAGGGGTTTTCCCATTTCCAGACATCTTTCAAGGTTTTCAACAGACGACAGAGGCCCCAACTCCTCAGGTTCTGGGCACTGCTGACCTTGGCCTGCAGCTTGTACCTCCAGGAGAGGGACCCGACCGGAGCGCAGAGACGTTGGCGTGTGTTTGTTACAGGGTGGTGGGATCACTCGGGGTTTCTCCAACCACTTCTGTGATACTTTTGGGGATCCTCCTTTATACGAACAAAAGAGTCTTTGGGGTTAGGCCCTTTCTGTTGTATCACAGAAGTGGTCATTCCCCACAACCCTGGAGTTTGTTATGTGGTTGTTTCCGCTTTGTGGTGCCACTTGTTTGGGTGAAGGGTTCTTGCGTTTTTGTTCCCCCCCCCGGTTGTGTGGTGCCATTGTTGGTTGAAGGGTTGTTTTGTTGTTTGTTGTTTCGTTGTTTGGCGCCGTGTTTGTTTGGCTTCAGGGTTCCCAAAAGGTTACTTCCCGAATTCTGTTTCGGACTTACTTTTGAAAGTTGGCCATAGTGGCAAACAAACAGTTTTTTGGCAATCAGGAAGTGAGCATATGTTGTGCTTCTTGTTTGTGCCTTTGAGCATCGGATGTTTGAGCAATTCAGCGTGAGATGCCTTCTGATGATGTTGAAAGGGGAACTGCAGGGATCGGCGTTTTAAAAAGAAACGACCAAAGTGTGGGCCTTGTCCCTCCGAACATCTGCTGGAGGTCCTAGGTGTATACCTCAAAGCCCGAAATCCCCGATCCTAAAGTGTGACGGGTCTTCCAAGAGCCTCAGTTCGTTGAGTTGTCCCGGGACCGAAGCCCCCCCTGAACTTGGTGGCTCCCAGTCATCTTTTTAGCCTAGCTTTTTAGCGTGTGGTGGCTTCCATTTAGCCCAAAAGTTAATCTTGTGATCTGAGGGCCCAGTGAAGTGTGAGGAAAAACAGCACGACGGCAGAAAAAACAAGCAGACTCTATGCGGGCATGGCCTCGGCTGATAAAATCACGCCTGTCACAAGGGCGTTTCGGTAGCGGTCCTCAACTGCGAACGTCCCCGATGCTAAAAGAGGTCGGACCAACCCCAGGCTCACAAGTCCTCTCAAGGATTTTTAATGAGGGGCCCAGAAACGGGCACCGGTAAGATTTGCCTCCTGGCAAAATGCCAAGGGTGTACTGCCATTGCGCTACTGGCCCGTAGCATTAAGAGAAACATACTCCAAAAAGGGGCGTCCCCTTGTCGGGAGTCCGAAATGGCTATGAATCTTAAGAGTTGGAACGCCAACCACAAGTGGTTGGTAGACATGAATCTCCTCTCGAAAGAAAAGGTTGGCCAAGGGTCCCTGTTCGAGGGTCCTCTATTCAAAATAGAATTATCCTATCGAATTCCCCCAGCAAAGGGTCCCCTACCTGAATGTCCGTTGCCAAGTTAGCCAGCGGCTACCTCGGTCATCACCCACAAAGGTTAACTCCACTGAACGGGGGACTTGTACTCGGGCTATAACTTGGGTTAGCAACTTGGCTTGAAACAGAATCTGGCCAACCTTCAACAGGGCTCCTTAAAATATACATTTTGCAACCATTTTAAACATGGCTTTTTCCACCAAAATAAAGGGAAACAACCAATTACAAGGCAATGTTCAGGTGTATAATGTAAGGATCCCTGTTCAAATTTGCCTTCAGCTCACTTCCCGAGTTCCTGGAGTGGAAAGACCATTTTAGCGGTAAACAAAAAGTCCGGACTTTATTTTGGCCCATCGACCGGGGAGGTGAGTCAAAGGTATCAAGCAAATTCTGCAGCCCCGGAGGCCCCCAGGAACCCTCCTAAAAGCTGCCCCAAACCACCAGTGTCCGGTGTTCCAGATGGTGTTTCTCTCCAATTGCCCCTGTGGTCCGATTTTCTAGTGTTGTGTTTCCACAGTGTTGCCCAGTGTGCAGTGTTGCTGAGTGTCCAGCGTTCCAGTTCAGTATTCCTGTGTTGCCCCTTTTTTCCAGCGTCCTAGATCAAACTTCTTTTCGTTTTGGGTTTGAACCATTCTTCTGGCAAACAACAAGTTTGGTTACTTTTGGCCCATCGACTCAGGAAGTGAGTCAAAGGTACTCTTGAGCCCATATGCATCAACCCCGGCTTGTTAGTAGGGGTGTGAGGGTTACTCTAATCAACCCCAGCTTATTAATGGGGGAGGTGGTTCTTGGCCACTCAAAAAGTGGTCTGATTCCCCACTCAAAGGTGTTTCCCCTGTTTTGTTTTTCAGAGAATCGATCTCTCACCACTAGCTTCCATTTGCCTAAGAATATGTTGTTATCTTCCCTTGTCTGGAGATAGTTCTTTATGCTTTTCCAGGGGTCGAAAAACCAACTGGAAGAATCCAGGAAGTGAGTGCATGAACGCTTTGGACTCCGGCTAATCCATGCAAGGAGGTGTCTCATGGGACAAAAGCTAGTCTCCATGACCCTTTCCGTTTTCAATGACCCCCAAATTTTGGGTAATGACCAACCATTTTTCAAGGGTCAGAAGGAGACTCCAGGTAAATGAGCAACGGAAAATGTGACCAGAGCCACGGTTTTGGGAGCTTCTGAGCTTCAGCGACCGAGCTTCAGGCGCCGCTGCAGGGCCCGGTGGCGCCTCCGGCGCTCGGCTGCTGGCGCCAGGGCTGCGGAGTGCAAAGTCTGCTGCTGGTGGTGCTGCTGCGGCTCCATCAGCCCCTCGCCGGAAATCGAAAGACGCCCAAAACGCCAACAACGCGCGCAAGCGCGTCTGACAAAGTTTGCTTGGCGCTAGGTCGCCGAGCTAGGTGCCCTTTCTCATCATTTTTTTAGTTGGGAGGGTTCCCCTACTAAAATAGACTGCAGAAAAAGTTGGTGCCCTTATTCCAAGCTCTTTACTTGTTGCTTCCGGCGAATCCTCCACTTCAGCTTAGCTTTTGTTAGTTGGTCTTAGATGATTTTAGTTGGTCTTAGCTTTTTGTTAGTTGGTCTTAAGAAAGCTTTTTACTTCACCAACTAAGCTGAAGCTGATGCTTGATTTCAGTTATTTCGTGGGTTACTGGGCCAAGACAGCCCTCGGCGTGTGGCCAACCGCGTGTGGCCGGCCACTTTGCTTGGTGGCAAGCCAGCGCAACCCTCCCCCCCCCCCCGCCCCCCCGCCCCGGCTGGCGCCGGAGTTCGTGGCTCAACTTCGGTGTTTCGAGTTGTCTTAGCTGATTTTAGTTGGTTGAGGGTTGGGTTTCATTTTAACCCGCAAGTTAAACTTGTAGCAGCGGATCAGTTTGGACAGCCCAGTATAGTAAGGCTGGGAGAACCGAAAGTCATTGGGTTCTGGCGCCGCTCCTTTGGTTTCCTCATGGGCCAATCACTTGGGGCTGGAAACTATTCGTGGCCTGCTTTGTTGGAAGCCAGGTCTAAGCAAGCTCAAATCACTACCAAGCATCATGGAGTATTTGCCCTTTGTTTGGTCTATATTTCAGTTGCCCAGTGGTGCCCTTTTTCCCTTTATTTGAGAAGGGTTCCCCTTTAAAATCAACCAACCAAAAAAGCATGCCGATTCTTTTTTTCCCATGGAAATCCACGGGGCATCTGTGTTTACCGTTGGGATCGGGTCGTTCGGGGGTGGAAAGCATGTATTGAGAGCAGCGCGAGACCTGGCTTTGAAGCGAAGCGAGAAGCCCATATGGCACAGGACTCAAAGGGGCGAAGCATAGGTGTCCGTTTTGGTTGTTTTGGCAGACAAATAGATGGCCCTGGTTTACCAGGTGGTTTACTCATCTACCAGGGCGATGGATTTCTCTAAAAGGACACACATGTTAGTAAGTGGCTAGTAAGCCTGGTTATATCACGCTGATCGGAGACTTACAACCATGGCGTTTGTGGGTTATCGCGCCTAGCGGATATTACAGCCACCACTTGCCTGACGTACCGAATCGATCGCACCTTTAAGCAAAACTTTGTGGACAACTTGGAATGCCTCTAGCTTCAGAGAGGCCGCGGGATAAAGATCCATTTGCCTTACTATGCCTGGGCGATCGATTCGGCACGTCAGGTGAGCGGGCAATAACCATGCTTATATCCACTTACTGTGGTTATGAGTCTCCCAAGCAATCGTTTCTCTAAGTATCCATACGAAGCATATGATGGGCCATTCTGGCAGCGAAAGTTCTCTGCTCTGCCGGCACCTGATGGTAAGCCTTGAACAAGCCTACCGTCTGCATTATAAAAAGCAGCTCGACTTGTGCTTGCTAATGGCACAAAGATTGCTGGGTCATGAAGCGGTGGCATTGGAATTGGAAAGGCTCATAGCCGTCTCCTGGCGGTGCAAAGAGCCACGTTGTGCGCCAGTTTTCGATGCGTGTTGGAGGTGTGACAATAAGGACCACGGTGTGGGCATGACCTTGTCGGGAAGAACCAAATAAGCCCAGGGGAACAGCGGTAACTTGATCCTTCAGTGCACGACGTTTTGCGGCGTGCTAAAATCGATTCTTCGGGACCCGGTGGCTTCCCAAGCTTGGGTACGTCTGAGGGGCTACCATCATTCCAACCGTATACTCTTACAATTGTGGCTACATTTACTGTCATGTTACCCCAACCCCCCCCCCCCATTCTAATTACTTCGCCCCTTTTGACATGTATTATGCGCTTAGTGTACCATTCCGGTACGTTCGGTGCGTTCGGCCGGTACGTTCGCTGCCGGTTCGTTCGGCGCTTTTTCGGGCATGTTTCCCCTTTTTTGGCAGTGATGGCATAGTTTATGCGTATGTCTTCCTACCCTGGAGTGATTCGATTCCCCTGCAAATTCCGACCAACGTCATGGTTTCAACCATGGTTTCAATGCGGTGCGAACTGGATTTCGCAACCGTGCACAGTATGTCTTACCATGGTTGTTGTTGGGAAACATTTTACATTTTTGCTTATTGTGGTTTAGTGGTTGAAATCCCCACTTCACTGCTGAAAATTATTTTTTTGCTACCCTTCTAACGTCAACCAAGTTACTGGGGGCCTTTCGGGTTTCCCGAGGAACCTGGTCTTAGAGCCTTTCGTGGGTGGACCGGCGGTGGCCAAGATCGGGGCGGCGGGATATTTAGCCGCTCGGAGATCGGGAGATCGGAGGCCTTGGGCCAAAAATCTAGGTCCAGCTAGGTGCTCTTTTTAGCCCGTTTCTTTTTTTGGGGATTCCCATTTAGGTTCCTTAGGTTCCTCAGCTTTTCCCATTTTGGGCACGAATAGGTGTTTTTTAGCAGTCTAGGTCCCCCAACTAGGTGCCCTTTTACCAACTTTTTAGGGTTTTGGGTCCCCCTACTAAACAGAGGTGCGTTTTGCCAAGGGATGCTAGGACTTTAGCTTTTTGCCAACTAATGGGTTTTCCGTATCACACCACTAAAAGTTATTCACTTTTAGCAGGGGAGCAGAAAGCAACCGAGTAAAGTCCTGAAAAAAGTTGGTACCAACTTATTCTAAGCTCTCAAATCTGGAGGACCTAGCGGCGATCGACTGCGAAGCTATCCTTCTTTCAAGGGAAATGACGAATGTCAGAATTGGATCCTTACGATGGGTGTGAATTTGAGGTGCTGAAATGTTCGTAGCCATACCGTGGATGGTGGCAAAATCCAATTCGCGCCACCTAAGAAACCATGGTTGAAACCATGACGTTGGTTGGTATTTAGAGTTGGATCATCATTCCAGGTTGTCTTAGGTGGTGCAGGATTTCATCCATGCACAGTATAGCGCTCCAAGTTTGAGCTGGTTTTCAAGCCCTTCTTGAGGTGCTTCCCTGCTGAATTTGAGGTCATTCCCTATTTGTTTTTTGAAGAAGGGAAATGACGAGGAAAGCCAGAATTTCAACCAGTGAAACCCGATTGGCCTTGTGACAAATATCCAGCCATTTGTCCTGTTAGTTGTTGAAGGCTGGTTCAATTGGTTACCAGTTGCGCCGTGGACAAAGCTGCCTTTTGCCTGGGCTTGGTAGAGACAGTCATTTCCCTTGGAGGACATCGAGACAACAACGTTTCAAGGTTCCTAGTACGGCAAGCATGGCCGTAACCCACATAAGGGAGTTATAACCATGGCACACCTCCTTTTGGTTTTCCCAGAAAGGCGACAAATGTTTGGTCGTTGAATCAAGCTTTGCAAAACACCTGGTCTTCCAGGCGAGAAACTGCGGTGGGCGGCTATGAGGTTTAATTGGGAAATGACTCATTTTCTGGATCTTGAATCACATCCCCAGTAGAATTGGCACTGGGGACATAAAATGGAATGTAAACAGCTTCCTGGTCTCAAACATAGTTGGTGGAGATCAATCCACCGAAGGATTTACTAATTCGAAGTCATATCCAGGAAATGACGTGGCGTGGAAACTAGTCCTAGTGAGTGCCAACGAGTTACTGATTGTGGCTTACCTGAAAGGCAATGGGAAACCTCCAGAGGGTGGGAGGGTAGAATGATGCCGCCCGTGAGGGCATCTCATGCAGAGATACACTCCCACCAGCTAACATGGAAGTGCACAGACCCCTGTAGAAAGACTACGTTCCTCTTGGAAAGGGCTTTGTATTCCATGTTGGTGGGAGGGTACTGCATTTCCTTGAGTCACGTGTGTAGACCATTTCTAGATCTTCCTCTGGCCTCCTCAGGTGTCATTCTGTGGTTGTATTGGTGTGAGGCTACCTCTTTCGAGGTGGAGAACATTTCTTTTGGACACCACAAGGGATCCAACCATTTTGGGTCTCCGATTTGATGCACATTGACAATGAGTTTCGTCCCATCGCACTGATAGATACACCTAGGAAGATGCAAGAGAGACTTAAAACACTTAATCGGGAAATGGATTACTGCTTCCATTGCTGAAATGGATATATCTTTCATTTCTCTCATCTGGGTTTCAAGGGAATATATCACTACTGGAAATGTGTTTAATTGTTCCAGGGGCTTGAGCAAATGGAAGACTACACTCCTCTAAACTGGGAGGTCAATGAGGATGAAGGGGTCGATTGGGTTCAATGGAGTTGTAACATGGGTCGATGGGGACAGTTGTTTAGGCTTTTCAGTGGCCCAATGCCAGTACGGGTTTATTAGGATTTGTGTGCGGCTTTCATCGTCCGTTGTGTTTGTTGGGCATGTTTCCTGATGGGAGCGGATGTTTGAACATCGTCTCCGTACGCAAGTGCTTTTTCGCAGACTTAAATCAGGGGACCCTAAACAGTTCTACGTGCTGCGAATTCCTGCTTGCACCAGAGGACAATCATGTAGCATCCGAACGGAGCCCATTTATTGGAACCCATTCAAGGGGTCACCCTATTCAATGGAAATCCGAATGCATGTGTTATTTTGTGCTTTCCATCACCTTCTGGTTGTGGACCTCCATCTGGTGGCGTGAGTTGTTCCTTAGAAGTCAACTTGATTTCATTTGGGCATCTTTGGTGTCCCTCAAGAACGACTAACCCAAAAAATACACTTCCATTTGCTTAAGAATATGTTTCTATTTTCCCCTGTTGATTGTAAAGGGAATCTATCACTACGTTTTTTGTTTTCTCCCCAGGGGTCTTAGCCAAATGGAAGTCTACCTCAACTCCTCCCTGCGTCAAGAACTGCCACCGTGTGTGTGTGTGTGTCCCTTTAGAACGACCCCCAAAATAAATGCTCTGTAGTTTTCTCCCCTGGACATCCAGTGGGGTCCCTTGTTGAAGGGTGCATCAGGATGCTTGACCCACGTAACCCTCCCTCCAATAACGGGAGCTGACGGGAGGGGGGTGGAAAGACTTCAGGAAGCCCCTGGTCCGCTTCTATGATGGCTGCGTAGGAAGCTTATCTTCCAGTTTGTTTTCATGTTCAGACTAGACTCCAAGTGATTGAGAACCAAGTCCTCGTTTTTTGTTTTTTTTTCTTCCGGGGTACTTCCTTTTTTGTCACGAACTTCAAGGAGCCCTTAACTTGGTTCCCCCAAAGGGACGAGCCAGCGAGTCAGGAAGGCCAGCTGTCGCGCCGCCGCCACCGCCTGATCGGATCTCAGGCCTCCTTTGGCCTCGGCTTGCAGAGTTTGGGCCCCGAAGCCAGCGCCGCGTGCCGCGGCGTTTCGGGCGGGGCGGCTGGGGGCCGACGACCTTGGCCGCGTCCATTTTGTTTCGATGGTTTGCCACGGGGGCAACCGCGGAGCTGCGCTTTCCTGGTAAAACGAGCTCAGGTTCCCTTACCAAGCCGGAAGAGCACATTTGACCAGTACTGTGGATGGTTGCGAAATCCAATTCGCACCACCAAAGAAACCATGATTGAAACCATGACAATCGTTGGTATGTACAGGGGAATAATCATTACGGGGGTTCTTAGGTGGTGCAGGCTGCATCACCAAAGAAACCCTGGAATGATTCGATTCCCCAACGTAATATACCAACCAAGAGATTGGTTTCAACCATGGTTTCAAAGTCAAAGTGGGGCGAAGGGATTTCTTCCATCCACAGTAGGTGTCCTTTCTTAGCGTTGCCAAGGGAATCCTCCGGTTCCTTAGGTGTTTCCATTTAGGCCACGAACCTCTTTTTTGTGTGCAGTCTAGGTCCCCCAACTAGGTGCCCTTTTACCAACTTGTTTGGGGGAGGGTTCCCCTACTAAAATAGACTACAGAAAAAGGGTACCCTTATTCTAACCTCTCTACTGGAGGACCTAGCAGGGGAGCGGTATGGACAGCCCAGTTCAGTTTAGTTGAGAAGTAGACGGGACCTAGACCTCCTGGATGAATCATTTACAGACATCTATTTTCCCAAAAGGACACCTATGCTTGCGGTGAACTTTGTTTCCTCGGAGGGGTTCCCTTTACTGTCGACCCTGGATTGAACCCGTGCTACTTAAAGAGGCAGGGTACTGAGCAAGTGGGTAAGAACCATGGTTAGAACCCACTGGCCATGGGTGTAATTCTCCTATGCGGGCTATAACCAGGCTTACTAACCACTGCTGCGTGGCTCCCAGCCATCCGGTCCCTTAGTCTTTTAGCTGTTTAGAGTTTAGTGGGAGTTTCCGGATTTACCCCACTCAAAGTGAGTCACTTTTAGCGGGGGATCAGAAATCGGGCAGCCCAGACTTACTAAGTACCTGCCCCTTTACATATGGTTTTGTTTTTCGGTGGGGCTTCATCACGTGAGGGGAACACAGTCCGCCGCTGGGATCTGAGATTGGCTTGTCTTTCTGTGAGGCCTCAATGGAAAACCGAAGTGCAACCACACGTTTCTTTCTCTCTCTTTTTTTTGGGGGGGGTGGTCCCGCAACATTGAGACACATCCATTTGCTTGTTTGTATTTTTGGTGAGGGCACTCCTTCTTTGGTGCATGCAAACAGCAGCCAATAGGGACAACGATATTGGGGGGATTTTGACACGCAAACACACACACACACACACACACACACACTTGTGTGCCATCTACTGTAGTCAGGGAATGCCAGGCAGCACACGAGCCCCCAAAATACCATGGCAACATGTTGGGGTTTGCTCACTAAAATCCGACGTCGTTGAACGCAACGAATATTCATGGCAAACTTGGCCAGGGCTACAACTGGGTGACTTGATTATGGTGACACACAACTTGTCGCGACCTTTGTCGGCCAGCCCTTGAAAAAGGCCCGAACCAACCATTTGATGCGACTGGTTCTGGGTCTGCGTTTTGCCTGGACGTTTCCCGTTTTGCGGGGAAGCCGAGCCACCTATTGATTCTTCGTTCACGGATTGTGGGCGGCAATCCAAGTTTCCAAACCCGGGGGCCTTGCCTGATGAAGACCAAAGCATGGCCCCCCAGGTGTTATGGTGACTACATGAAACCCCACACATTCAATCCTCAGTTTGCGGGCTGGTCCTAAAATAAATGAACACCCACCCAACCATTGTGCGATTTGTCCATGAAAGCCCACAAACAGTCCCATAGTTTTTCAGGAAACAGGAACACATGGAACCAAAGAACGTCGTTTTTTCAGCGCCCACCGCGCAGCGACTTTTGGTCGCGATCGCTGGCGAATTGGTTAGGCACGTCTTGGGGAACATCTGGTTCCTGCTGGGCGCCTATTGCCACGCCTGGATCTTTGAGGCACACTTCTCTGGCCATCTCTGCCAGTGCCGCCTTGATTTGGATTGGAAAAAGGAAAAAAAGGGGAGGAGTGGACATATGGCTGTGGCTCACAAAACCGGTACCCAAATGGGTTGCCCTGGTGGACACATGGGTACCAAAACTTGCGGTTTGCCCCAGCTGTTTAATTTTGAGCCACATCCATATTTGTAATTTGGATCGCGTTTGGGTGTTTGAGTGTTTTCGTTTGGTGGGTTGGTCGGTTGGTTGGTTTGCTTGCTTGGTTTGTTTGTTTGCTTGCTTGCCTCCTTGCCTGCTTGCCTGTTTGCCTGCTTGCCTGTTTGCCTGCTTGCTTGCTTGATTGTGTGTCTTTTTGTGTTGCTTTTTGTTGTTTGTTCTATGAATGACTTCTTAGTTTTCTGTTCCTTCATCTCAGTTGCCCAACGCCGCCCTTTTAACTGTTTGGTTTTCCAATTTTGTTTTTTTTTTAGTAAAGGCCCCAAAAGGTGATCACCTTTTATTTCTGGGTCCTTTGGGCGAGGAAGTACTTCTTAGCAAAATATGTTCCTAGCTGTTTCTTAGCTTTATGTTTGTTTGTTTGTTTGTTTGTTTGTTGGTTTGTTTGTTTGTTTGTTTGTTTGTTGGGTTGTTTGTTTGTTTGTGTGTTTGTTTGTTTGTTTGTTTGATTGTTTTGTTTGTTTTTGTTTTTGTTTTTTTTGTTTGTTTGTTTGTTCTGTTTGTTTGTTTTTCTTACCTTTCTGTTCCTTCATTCATTTATTCGCTGAACCTCTCGGGCGACTTTCCGACACGTTCTTCGGCATTTGTTGAGGCTTGCTGGCACAGAGCTGGTTCTTCCGGCAGGGGCTGATGCATCGCCAGCTGTTGTTTTCTGGGGCGCCCTATGCGGGCTGCTTCTTCATACTGCCTCCCGGCTCGGGTTTTTTTGGGGCCCCTTTTAGGGGCTCCATGTGTTGATTCGAGGTCCAGCGAAAGGGTGCCAACTTTTACCGTTTCTTTTTTGGGGGGGGAGGGTTCCTCTACTGAAATATAATACAGAAAAAAGGGTGGCCTTATTCTAACCTCTCTAGTGGAGCACCTGGGATTGTATCCCTAGGGCTTGTCAAAGGCAGAAATGGGGGTGCTTCCCTTCAACCCGCCACCTCGGCGCTGACTTTGATGCTAAAATCAAGAGGCCAGTTGTGGTCCCCCGAATCTTAGCTTCGGATTTCAGCAAGGACCAGAGGTGCCTAGTTAGAGGCCCACCCAAAAGAATGGACTAGTTTCCAGGTGCTTTCAAGAACTGAGTTAGTTCTACCCCCAACAGCTGCTTTTTCCCACGTCCAAACTCCCAGTCTAAAAAAAGCAGTGGTTGGGGGTGCTGTTGTTGTCCGATTTTTTCAGTGGCTGGGACCAGCATTAACAACATAACATCCCACCGGAAGGTCTTCCAGCAGCCCCGGTCAGGTTCCACGGCAGTCGGGTCTTTCAATGAAGGGATTTGAGCCAGGTCTTTGAAGAAGAACCCCCGAATAAAAGAAAGCCCTGGTTGGTATGCGTCCGGAAAGTGTCCCCTTCACAAGAATCCGGGTTACTTTTGGGTGCCCACGTACTGGCCCGCTGCAAATTTGCATGGAACTCCAAAACGGTGCAGAAGGAGTCTTCTTTGGCTGTTTGTTCTTTCCATAACCTGCCAGAGTGTCATCTGCATTGTCGACGTGGGTCGGTGTCAAAACACCGGGGCAACCAGAAATCTGCTGGTTTCCCTTCAAGCCCCGATTTCAGGGCCAGCCCCATGTTTCCGGCGTTTCTCGTTTTGGCACCTGGCCGTGTCCAGAGGGGATGGGGAGGGAGCCCAAACAAGCCCTTAATTATTAGGCCCTTAAGGCCTTATTTAGGGCCTTTTTGGGCTCCCTCCCCTTCCCCTCCCTCCCCCCCAGGCCCCATGAGAAGCAAGAAACCACCCCAACATCCCAGGTTCGTAGTGCGCCGGGAGCGGAATCTCCGTGTCCGCATGGAAGCGGCCAAGATGGACGTGGAGTATTCCCTCGAGGCGGCTGAAAACATGTGAGACGGCTCTCAAAACGGGAAAAACCCGGGTGGACTAGGTTTTCCAGTGCCAACTTTTACCGTTTCTTTTTTGGGGGAGGGTTCCCCTACTAAAATAGACTACAGAAAAAGGGTACCCTTATTCCTAACCTTTCTACTGGGAACCTAGATGAGGGCGAATAACAATCCGGACCAAAACTCGGTGCCGCATCTTCGACTCATTTCATTGGCTGGACAACAAGAAAAAGGCCAGGTTTTGATCACTCGCTTTGGCCAATCCACAGAGTGAGATGTTCGCCGAAGTGTCAAGCTTGAACGAGCGAATTTGTTCTGGATGTTCAAGCAACCTCAGGCAAGTAGGTGATAGCCATGGTTATAACTGCTCTAACTGGAGTTGGCCTCCCTATAATCTGGGTTTCAAGCTACGTACTAAGTTGGTTGAACATGCACGTTTGATGTGTGATCGGGACTTCGAAACTCTTCTCGTAACGCCTACTGCTTCAAGACGTCTAATTCGTGCGTCAGAAGTGCCTGAAATGGGCCTGAAACATTGGAGTCTTTCCCGCGTGAGATCTGAAGCGCCCCCCCCTGAAACGCGAGTATTCGGAGGATGACACCCAGATATTTGACTACTATCAGGATCTAGCATGGAATGTTGTGCGCTACTATTGAACCAAATTAGCTTATCATCCGGGGAGAACCATGTTTCTATTTGTTTAGCCCCTTGTAGCAGGGTATTTCCTCAAAGAGGCAACCCCAACCTCGCGCGGAACCGCAAGGGATGCCACACACCATCGCCTTGTAGCCTACAGATCGGTTTGAGTTGTTTTTCCCCCAGAGGGGATGGCCTTTTTTAGGATTTGGCCTTACAAGCGGATGCGGCTGCGGGTTGGTTGCGGGGATGTAAGAAGTCAAGTGGTACCCCTTTGAAGGGCCCAAGAAGTGCATGGGCTCTTTACTCCCGCTGATCCCAAGCTGGATTGACACCATTGCCATGGTTTGTTTTAAGGTCCTTCGGGCGGATGGTTGCGAAATGCATATCGCACCAGCTAAGAACCCATGGTTGAACAAAAAGTTGGGAATTGTGGCAACCAACCTGGTTGGTTGGTATTTCCGAGGGAATCAAATCATTACGGGGTGTCTGGATTGCGTAACCATGGGGATGTAGCCAGAACAGTTGTCGGAAGGCAGAAAGGTGGCTGCTGAAACTCCGGCATTCGGCATCCCTAGGTCCCTCAGTGCCCTTTGAGCAACTGTTTTGGGGGAGAGGTTTCCCCTACTGAAATAGACGTCCTGGAAAAAGGGGGTACCAACTTATTCTAACCTCTCTACTGGAGGACCTAGAAAAGAAGATCTAGGTAGGTGGAAGGACACAGTTTGGCCAAGTTGAGAAGCTTCACCTCCTGACCACCTGGCGGTCTGAGGTGTTTCTCGTGGAGCCCTTGCGCTTCTGCCAGCGCCTGGCGCTGGTCTACATCATGGTCTACTTCGCCACCTACGCCATGGACCTCTGGATCGCCTTCGAGTATTGAGCGGGAAAACAAGAAGCGCGTGCCGGCTGCCTGCAACGGCCTGCGGGGGGTGGAGAAGCCTACAAATTTAACATGGAGCCCAAACATTGGGGTGCCCAAACTGAGCTTCCTCCAAAAATGATTCGATGGTTTTGAGGTTCCAGGTTAATCCTGCAGGGGAGGAGCAAGCATTTGCCAATGGCGAGTTTTAACTGATTCGGATGTGAAGAGTTTCACGTGCCCTTGAAAAAGAGGATTTCCGACGTCAGGTGTTGGAAAAATGCGGCCAAACAATTCAATCCTTGTCGTTCTGTTGGCCCGGGTGCTTTCCAGAGGCCTTGGAAACATGATCCTCCAGAGGCCTCGTGTCGTGTCTCTTCGTAGGTTTCCATCGAAACCCCGAGCGAGCCATTGCAACTTCGAAAGGGAAAATCCTGTGACATTTGCCACGCACAGACAGCTCAGAGAAGCTGAGGCTGTCAGTTGCCTTTCGCTTTCCTCGTCCCTCTCGCGGCTAGCCCTGATTTCGACCAGTTTGTGAGGTGCCTGGCTGGCAGTGCTTTGGCTATGCCGCGAAACTGCCTTCAGACTCTTGTCCAGTCTGGTTTCCTTGTATTGGAAAATGCTGTCGCTTGAGTCAGTGAATTTCAAGGTGGCAGTTGTGTAATCATGTTTGGACTTGTCACAGACTTGAATCACATGATGGTATACGCTATCATAGCACATTGCCTTGAGACAAAGGCAAACTCTAGCAATCAAGGCTGCAAATTGATCATTGTCTTCTTGGTGCGAGCAAAGAGTTATCGGTAACCGCTGTTTGCGATGAATGTGATGATGTCACATACGTTTGCACAACGCTCTCATACTTTGGTTGTATATTGCCGGAGCTGCCCCTTTGCTTCACAGCTCCTTCACAGTTTCGCTGGGCCAGGTGGGCTGACCCACGCTCTTAGCCACGAGCACCCCAATGGTCTTGTACAACTGTCCCCCAGTAGTGCTCTTTTACCGTTTCTTTTTTTTGGGAGGGTTCCCCTGCTAAAATAGACTACAGAAAAAAAAGAGTACCCTTATTCTAACCTCTCTACTGCAGGACCTAGACAAGCATCATATCTTCGGCTTTGAACTGTGAGGCGTGGTCAAAAGTCGTTGTGCATGTGTGTGTGTGTACGTGTTTGGGTTTGGAGTTAGTGTGTGGTAGCCAGCATTAAGATGGAATCCAAGAAGCATCCTCCCATATTCGTGCACGAAACCACCTAGGTCCCCCAATAGTGCCCTTTTTCTGCGGGAGGAATCCCCTACTAAAATAGACTACAGAAAAAAAAAGCTGGTACCAAATTGCTTTGTGTTTCAGCGAGGAGGTCGGTCAGGCAATTGGCTCGCAGGTCCCAAGAAAAACGCATAGCGGGCGATTCCCCAGGTCCACCCTCAGCGTCATAACTATGTGTCCATGTGCTGAAATGTTTTTTTCCCATGTTTTTTCCATGGTTGGTTGTAAAAGGAATGTATCACTATTGGACACATGTTTTTTCCAGGGGTCTTAACCAAATGGAAGTAAGCAAGACGGGAGCTTCTAAACTTAAACTCCGGTGCTGGTTGTTACAGAGAAAAATGACAACAG